CACACGCTATCAGCTGTTAGCTAACACACGCTATCAGCTTTTAGCTAACACATGCTATCAGCAGCTGTCTGAGCTGGTGGCCATCATTGTAGTCCTTAGGGAGTGAGCAGGTGACTCACCTGTCCTCTGGCCGGTGTTGGTCTCACGTCACACCTGGAGGCTTCAGGTCAGAACCTTCTGGACCAGCAGTAGGACCTGAAGGAAACGCTGAGGGAACGTTCCTGTCAGTTTGGACGGTTTCACTCTCAGCTCGTGCACACAGGAACCAGGCGTGTGCACGAGACCCAGGCTCAGACAGCAGAGCAGCTTCCTGTCTGACGGGCTCGTCTGATTGGTCGTCCCAGGATCAATAAAGTTTTATTGCAGTCCAATAAAGAGTCATCAGTAATCAATAAATCCTGACATTGATTTGATCAGCTACTGAAAGCTGGTATCTCCAGTGGACGGGCGCTGACAGCGTCGGTCCTCACAGAGATACGAGTCTCAGTGTGTGTCGTCGCCTCTCACCTGCGTCAGGTGACTGTTTCCGTCTCTGTGACCTCTGACCTCTTTGGGCTTTGGCCAATCCCAGCAGGGAGTCCTCATCCCCGTGGCAACTTCTCAAGCTTCCCTCTGATTGGCTCACGGCGACCCTCCATCAGTCGTCACGGTTACTGACTCCAGCGTGACCCTTGAGCCTCCCTGTGTGCTGCGTTCAAGGACTGCAGGAAATCGTAACTCTGATGTCCTTCACAGGAAGCAGGCGGCGAGCAGAGCGATGGCGACTCCACGAAGCCGCGGGTTGCCATGGAGACGGAGCCCAGCAGAGGTACAGCAGTGATGGACGGTCTGTACGTCTCAGTATAAATGTGTTCAAAGAAAACCCATTGATGAGACCCTGAAGGAACCCAGAAGCAGAACCTGAGCGCTGTAACGGCTCCATTGGGTTTATTGTGCTGCTCTTTGCTCAACCAGTTTAAAACCATTTGGCCAGAACCACCGAAAAACTGCTGGAGATTATTTATACAAAATGTTTTCAAAAGACTCAACATTTGTCCCAAACGATGAATTTTTTCACTGCAAGCGAAGAAGAAACAGAAACACAACCGAAGCTTTTCAGATGCTGACAAGTCATTAAATACATAAATGAATCCATAACGAGGGCGATGTGGGTCATGAAAGGTGAGGAAATGAACGTCTGGAGTGTATTTCTACGTGTTTGTGTTTTTAAAGCTGAATGTCACGACGTCATCGTCACTACTTATGATTAATGATTGTGTTCTTGGGGAAGGAACACGGATCCATGACTGCATAGATCATAACGGATTAATCACTGCTCTACAGAAACGTCGACGGAAGTTCAGACATGGATGTAATGGTTCATATAAAACGAGTTGTTCACGTGTTTCATGATTATTTTCTTCTGAGTCTTTCTAAAGTTTTACTTTTGTCTCTTTAAAATGTTTTTTTTCTGATTCTGAGGTTTTGTTTTGTAGAAATAATAAATGAAATGATTCGTACGTTGAAGGCTGAGACTGAACTCTGAGAGCCTTGAATGAAGGTTTAACAGTGAAAACGTTGCTGTGATGCTCTGACCTCCAGAACCTCCAGAACCTCCAGAACCTCCAGAACCTCCAGTGACGCTACAGAAGCTGCAGACTGGACCTGTGGTGGTTCAGGGCAGCAACCAGAACTCGGCCAGTGAGAAGCTGCAGAGAGTCCGCAAGTGGAGCATCAGCAAGTACAAGGTGGGCGGAGTCTCACAGGTGTGTTCAGTAATAGGGGGAGGGGCGTGGTCAGCGTCTGTGGGTGTGGTCCACAGGTGTGGTCATGTACTCATGGGCGTGTCCAGTGGTTGTGGGCGTGGTCAGCAGCTGTCTCTCCTGCAGGTGACCCGGCAGGCCCTGTCAGAGAAGCTGGGCCGCGGCTCTCGGACCGTGGATCTGGACCTGGAGCCTCGACTAGAGCTACTGCAGGATGACCGGCAGCGCTACAGTCACATGACCCGGCTCGCTCAGACACTAGCCAATCAGCTCGCTCAGTTCACCGTTACCCAGAAGACCCTGGGAGACGCCTTCACCGAGCTCAGCCTGAAAACGCCGACACTGCACGTGAGTGGCTGCTTGTGCTACCGCTAACACGACACACAATCATGAAAGTTTGCACATAATTAAAAACCAAGCTGAGCAGCGACCCATGAACACGCTATAGTTAGCTATAGCTCCCCTAGCTGAGCAGTGACCCATGAACACGCTATAGTTAGCTATCGCTCCCCTAGCTGAGCAGTGACCCATGAACACGCTATAGTTAGCTATAGCTCCCCTAGCTGAGCAGCGACCCATGAACACGCTATAGTTAGCTACAGTTAGCTATAGCTCCCCTAGCTCAGCGGTGACTCATGAATAGGCTACAGCTAGCTATAGCTAGCTAAAGCTCACCTAGCTGAGCGGTGACCCATTAACAGGCTGTAAGCCATAGTTAGCTACAGCTAGCTATGATTAGCTATAGTTAGCTATAGTTCCCTGATGCAGTGGTCGGGGGTTCGACTCCCGCTCACGACCCTTTGCTGCAGGTCTCTCCCCATTCACTCACTACAGACTCACTACAGACTCACTATAGACTCACTACAGACTCACTACAGACTCACTACAGACTCACTACCGTGTGCTGTTCAGGTGGAGTTCGGCGCGAACGCTGAAGCTCAGAAGTTTGTGTCGCGGAGCGGCGAGACGCTGGCGACGGCCGTCAACGCCTTCACGTCCGACATGAACACGCTGATCACCAAGACGATGGAGGACACCATGATCAACGCCAAGCAGTACGAGGCGGCCAGGTGGGAGGAAGTGATGTCACGGTTCCAGATTGATCACTTTAATGGACTTTTTCCATCATTTCTGAGCCTCAGAACTTCATCAGTACAGCAGATAGACACATGACATTTAGGAGGAAGAACACATCTGGGTTCTGCTAGAACCTGACACCAGATCAGTTCCGCATCCATCCAGGTGTCTCAGTCTGAACACTGGACCTGGTTCTGGTCATTTCCTGTCGAGCCAGCTGTACTGATCAGTAGAGACATGATCCATCCATAGGTAGACACTTACAGGACCGTTCTGGGACCGGTACCAGCCTGGTGGACAAGCAGCACTTTAATCCATTTTCAAGGTCCAATACTGAAGTTTTGTTCTGAACCTTTAAATGGTTTCACAGGTTTTTATTGAGGGTAAAAATAAAAACATTCCAGGTCTGAAAACATATAAAATTCTCAAATTCAGCCACAATATTTTATCAGAACCTGGACCGGTTACCAGATAAGTAGGCTGTGAACAGAACCTGGGTCGGGTGAAGTACTGACTGATCTCTGCTGCCTCCAGGGTCGAGTATGATGCGTACCGGGTCGACCTGGAAGAGCTGAACCTCGGACCGCGGGATGCCGTCACTCTGCCCAAACTGGAGCAGGCCCAGAAGAACTTCCAGAGCCAGAGGGAGCGGTACCAGAAGGTCCGAGACGACCTGTCGGTCAAAGTGAAGCTGCTGGAGGAGAACAAGGTGAGAGCGTTACGTGATCCTCAGGTCTCCTGATCACAAAGATGGATCAGGTGAGTCACAGAACCAGAACCAGAACCAGAACCACCACGTGAGTCTGACGTGTGCGTCTGTGTGCAGGTTAAAGTCCTCCACAACCAGCTGTGGCTGCTCCACAGCGCGGTCGCCGCCCACAGCACTTCCTGTCACCGCTTCCTGGAACACAACATCCGACAGGTGGAGCAACACCTGAGCGACGCTCCGTCCTGGTTGGAGGAGAGCTGACGGCTGCAGGTCCACGGGCTGGGGGGAACCGGTGGGCTGGACGGGGCGTTCTGATTGGTGGGTTTATTTAGAGCAGAGCCACCCTCTGAACCCGACAGGTTAGAATCAAAGCATCAGCGGGTCACACCTCGTTCAGCCGAAGCTGTAACAGAACCGTCCGACTGTCTGTGAACTCATCGTCTGAGAACCTGAATCACTTCAATCTTCTCGTCTCATTTGAAGCTCTGCCAAAAGTAAACTGTTGCTCAAACTAGATCCTACAAAAAACTAGAAGTTCTGGGGTCCTCGGCGTAGCCACGAACCGGGCCGACTGAGTCCGGTGGGAAACATCAGAACTTTCAGCTGAACTGCAGGCAGTGTTTCCACAGAGCCCAGAGGACAGAACCAACGAACCCGTTAGACGTCTGGAATACATGGAGACGTGTTCAGTGAAACATCTGGAAACATGGTGGCTCCGGGTTCCAGTTCCTCTCTGGTTCCCTCTGACGTCTCTGAGTTCTGTCTCCCCATGAGGTTCTGGTTCCTCAGAGCTGCAGGACTTGATGCTGAAACATGAACCTCAGTGAGTTCACGAGTCAGGAGCTGCTGGTTGGGTTCAGAGGGTTGCTTCTGTAGTTTGGGTTGGGGGTTCTGCAGCATCTGTTGGGCTGTTGGCTGCAGAACCGGGGCTGTGTGGGTGTTTGAGGGTTTTCTGGGTTCTGGAGAGAAACATGCAGGAAATGATCCTGAACCGGTGCTCCGTCTCCGTCTGATGCTCTGAGGCTTGAAGCTTCTCTTTGAACTTCAGAACTCCTCGGCCGACTCAGCAGCACCGTTAAACATCACCGGTTCAGGAACTCTGTCCAAAGCTCAGGCCGCCTGAAATATTCCAGGGCTCCACGCACCATCAGCCAGAGTCCAGGTGGACCAGCTCACCTGGTTCAGGGAACATCTGCAGCTTCCTGTGATGACTGCGAGGCGTTCAGGGAACACCAGTAAACAGTTGAAGACCTGGATGAAAGCATGTAAAAGTGACTTTGGAGCCCTGAATGTGTCACGCTGATGTTCTGATTGACCTTGAAGCTGTTCTGGTGAAGTGTATGAATGTTTCTTGTTTACCTCAACAACAACAACAACAACAACACGTTTGTGCAATAATGACCAAAGATGTTTCTGGTCCTGCCGGTGACACCAGGTGTCCCACCTGAGCCGAGTTTAAAAGGGAACTTTCACTCAGCGGTACCGAGCCTCTGGTGGTGCGTTCAGGGACCAGGATCAGCTTCAGACTGAACTCCACCTCCAGCTGGCAGAGTTAGATGTTTTGTTTGGTGGGTTTGTTGAGGTGCTGCTGTTGGGATGAGTGATGCTCACTCACCAGCTTCATCTTCTTGAGCTTTCAGCTGCATCTTTGATGGACCAGCGAACCTCGAGTTCAGCGTTTTAAGCAACCGCCATCGTTTCTGAGAAAAACCTCATGAGTGGATCTTTAGTGTCAAGATTGATAATAAATGCAATAAATGTCAGCTGATTATTCCAGATGTTTATGCTGTGGTCATTAGAGAAGAGCGAGCAGATGTTGAGAAGCTGTCGGACATGTTGGAGCCTCACTGCCTTCCCTGAACCGTCCCTGAAACATTTAAATCAAATAAATGTGTGAACAGTGAACAGCAGTGATGGACGTTATGTTTTCACTCATTTTCTCTGACTTCTGTCTTTTATTGCTCGTCTCTGTGGGCTGAACCAGAGTTTAGTGTTTCGTCTAGCGCCACCATCAGATCAACAGTTAAATATCAGTCACAAACCTTCAGTCTGGTATAGTGTCAGTTAGCACTCACACTAAAATATGCTAAACATCACATCTGCATTAGAATTGTTGTTATGAGCATGTTAGCATTAGCAGCATCATGTAAGCACGCTAATGGACAGAAGTGAAGTTGTCCCGAAGCAGTGAGAAGTTAAATGAACAGATTGGTGAATGGAGTCTGGTGTAGCAGGCTGAAGGCAGCGCTGGACGTAGCGCTGGACGTAGCGCTGGACGTAGCGCTGGAGGCTGCAGGTTCTCATCTGTTTGTGGAAAATGACAGAAATGTGTCTTTCAAAGAATTAACCAGAAACATAGTTCTGTAGAGAAAGTCAAACATTCAGTTTAAACTGAACAAAACACAATTTGTTGAAAACTCATCTTGAACAGACTCATTATTTGTCTATAAGCCTACAACATGCTAACTAGTGCTAACCAGTGCTAACCCATTCGACCGAAGACATTTCTTTCTTTTGGTTTTACTGTGTCTGACCCGATTAACAGTTCTTCAGTGATTAAGAGAAGCTTCCTGCTGGCAGCTCTGTGAGGAACAGCAATGCTAGCATCACCTGCTAGCATGCTCAGGACAAGCTAACGATGCTATCGCTCTGTTAAGGTCACATCGCACCAGAGTCCATTTGGAAATATAGAATTTAGTCTCACTGTTGAGACAGGGGCTGCAGGTGTCTCAGTGGTTAGCACCGTGGCCTCACAGCTAGAAGGTCGCTGGTTCATGTCCCGGTGAGGACACCCGGGATCTTCCTGCGTGGAGTCTCCATGTTCTCCCCGTGCAGCGTGGGTTCTCTCCGGGTTCTCCGGCTTCCTCCCACAGTCCAGAAACATGCTGAGGTTAATTGGTGATTGTAAATTGTCCGTAGGTGTGAATGTGAGTGTGCTTGGTTGTCTGTCTCTAAGTGTAGCCCTGTGATAGACTGGTTACCTGTCCAGGTGAACCTGCCTTCACCCTGAGTCAGCTGGGATAGGCTCCGCCCCCCATGACCCTGGTGAGGATGAAGGTGTGGAGATGATGGATGGATGGTCAGCAGCAGCTAAGATGTTTTCTTTCATTCATGATAATCTGGATTTTTGGCTTTCTTTTATTCAGTGTGTTTTTCTGTTATATTCTAGGAGTTCATCCATCCATCATCTACACCTTCATCCTCACTGGGGGGCGGAGCCTATCCCAGCTGACTCAGGGTGAAGGCAGGTTCACCTGGACAGGTAACCAGTTTCTAGGGTTTATGTCACACTTTAATGTAATGCGACATCAAACGGGTGTATTTCTGCTTTAAGCAGCTACTTTAATGTTTAAGACGTCATTAAAGTGATTCCACTGGAACTGTCCATGAATGTGGTTGTGCTCATTCATTCTGCTGCCGGTATAACATGTATGTTACATGGGCATCAACATGTGTGTTACATGAACTATACGACCTGTTCCATGTGTTTATTGGTTGTGTTTGATTATCGATATCTGTATTGACCGTGTGTGTGTTCAGGGCGAGGCCGCTTCAGCTTATCTGAGCCTCGCACACACGCACAGGTGGGCGTGTCCAACTTTCTCTTCCACCTGAGTGGACACGCATGCGCAGTCAACTGGGATCCCACCTCTCTCCCCCACGCGCGCACTCACCCTCGCACGCGCCCTCCGCCGCTGTCAGTCAGCGCGCGCTGCCGGTGGATGTCGGCGGGAGTCGGTTCGTGGTTCTTCTGTGAATCTGCCGGTTTTTATCGGGACTCTGGCTGCGGAGCGGCTGCGACGGCGGGACCCGGTCTGCGGTGAGTTGTTTGTGCGGTCCTCCAGCTGCTCGGCGCGGCGGCGCGTCGCTCCACCAGACTCCGTTCACTTTTTACCTGCTTCTAGAATAAAGCCGCGCTGCCTCATAAGTGTATCTGTCTGTGGTTCTCCTGGTGGGTCCTGAGGCGGCGGCTGCTCTCTGTAGCAGTTCGGCGGACTTGGACGTGTTGAATGTGTCCTAGTTCAGATGACACCGTTGGCGGTACCGGTGTGGATCTCCTCAGCTTTTATTGGTGCGTTTTAAACTCTTATGGCATCACAACAACACTTCTAGAATATTCCTGCTGAGTTTTTGCGCTCCAACCTGCTGAGGACGGACTCCCGGACCTTTCTGTGGCTGCAGACACTTTTCCATCGTGGTCCGTCCAGAGCAGGAGTCAGTCTGCTTCATCCACACAGCGGTCTGTTGGTCTTTCTCCTCTCATTACATTGTTTTTAGTGACGGACTCAATTTACAAAAGACATTTCAGAAATATTCATATAATGGCCTCAAATCAGCAGTGATGCTCCAGTGAAGCATCAGAAAGCTGAGAACCTCCCGGTCCGAGTGCCTGAAGCCCAGCATGACCCACAGCAGCTTCCTGGAGATCCGACTCCACTGGACGTCTGTTGATCAGTGGACTCATTAGTACTCAGTGGGTGTCCTGCAGGTTTGTGGCTCTCAGCTCCAGCCGGCTCCGTCCAGGCCAGGGTTCTGGATCACATGTCAGGCTGCGGTTCTGTTTGTGCTCCACCAGCTGAAGTTGTTTCAGCTTCTCTGGATGAACTGAAGCTGAAGCAGCAGCACCGTCCTCACACCAGAGCCCATTAAAAACCTGCTGGTCTGATGTTGTGCTGTGAAGCTGCACAAACAAACAAACAAACAAACAAACAAACAAACAAACAAACAGCGTCTGTGACTTTGTGCGTTCTGTGATTTGGTCTTACAGGAAATTCTGCACATTGCTTTTTATGTTGACGTGTTCCAGGAGTCTTGCAGCAGTGACGGATGGCTTTGTTGAGCTTCAGTGATCCAGAAGGTAGAGATCAGAGAAGCAGTGTTCAGACGAGTCAGCTGACTGGACGCCATCGGTTCCGCCCGGGGCCGGCCGGCTCCCTGTGGCCGGTCACGGTGTGCCCTCGGCGGGTTCAGGCTGCTGTCCGACCCGCCGACCTCCTGGAGCTCCGGTGATGCTACGACACGCTGACATTTTAGAAACAGGAAGCTGTGTGGGAACGTCTGTCTCTGTCGCCATGGTAACCCCAGAGACGGGATGCTCTGATGCAGAGACGCGACATTAAAGAGCTTTGAGCAGTTCTCTGCTTGTTAGACACAAAGACTCCTGAAGTGCAGCTCATGTGGTTCTGACCCAGTATTGTTCCTGCTCATGTGGTTCGGACCAACACCTGTTTACTGCTGTTTGCTCCTCTGGGAGCTTCACTGGGTTTCCACGGAGACGGGTCTCGGTGCCCAGTCTGCTCTGTTCTGGTGTCTCGCGGTCACCGAGGAGTTCAGCTGCTGTGGTTTGATGTGAGTCTGCTGCTGTCTGAGTCGGGTTCTTGAACCCGTTCGGGTCACTTCTCTGCACACGTTTGGTTTACGGGTCAGTGTCAGTTTCTGTAAATGTTGTGGATTGTTTCTGGGATTGTTCTGACCCGGCTGAAGGGTCCAGATGGTGATGGTAGCAGACTCAGCATTTGTGTTTCCACCTCCGGACACGTTGAGGCTTTGAATCGTGGAGCGCCACACATTGGGTCTGACGGTGCTGAATCCTGCAGAGCTGCTGGAGAAGGTGTGGATCTGTCAGACGGCCTGTAGAGCTCTGTTCTGATCCGACAAGGTTCATATAAAACCAACCGAATCTGACAACATAGAGGAGGGTCCAGATTGATCACTTTAATGGACTTT